GACGGCATGCGGGCTCTGACCTGTTGAACTTTCATCCCGCGTGATGGACTCGGGCGTGATGATTGCTCGGCCATCTGGCCATCCGATGTTGGCTTAGGACGACGCGGTGGCCTGTCCGCTACCCAAGTGGCGACTTGCTTTGGCCAGATGACGTATCAACACCGAATATGGGCTGGGGAAATCGCTGCAACTGTTTATGGATTGGGGGCCCGTGAAGCATAATTCAAGTAATTCTCGGCTCTTGCGAGAATTTCGGTCTCGTCAACTTTGAAAGTTTGGCCGGGCCTTGCAGAATGAGCAGCAGCTTGAGAATACGCGACGGGTGTCGAAACGTCAGGCGAATAAAACTATTGGCCAGCGATCGAGTCGTCTTCTTCACAATTACTTCTTGGGACTCGCATGTTCGCTCGTATTGGCAACGTCACTAAGCTCAGTCCGAGGCCACGTCCTGGGAGGTTCCCTTTTTGGGAATACGCGCGGCTCCTAGCCGCTTTATTTGGATAACCCATGTTTGAGCATTTAATTTGGGCAGCTCACTTCACTACAGAACCCTCCTGCCTATAATTACCCCCTCCAGTGTTCTTCGTCAGCAGACAAGAAATGAACGTGAGCACTTTTGACCTCCTCTTGTCCTTTAGTACGCGACAGCTGAGGTGTGATTTCAGTATGATTCCATGTAGAGGTCAACAGCGTGAAGGCTTAGTGAGCGACCAACAACGTGTGCGCAAAACTGTTTTGAGTGAATCCAAACGTACATTTGACACTACAAAGTCCAGGCTTGAATAAATACTGGTTTAATAAGGGGTCTAGGAAGGCTTCATTTGACCAATTTGTGAAAACGCGGCGACCTCGGTGGGGTTCGAAGCCAGGCCAGCAAGGCATTCAGTCTACTCTCCTCAGCTCTGGTGGTTTCTATACGTTACAATAAATCAGGCGGGTAAACTAACCCGAGTGCAGTTAAACTTTCAGCCATCGTCCTTAAAAGTGGAGTTTATCTACGTACTTTTTAGATAGAAAAATCCATATTGAGGTTTCACTGTTTAAAATACTGGCCGCACATGTACTAGTTTAATGTCCACACACGTGCCTGTGGTGACTAGCTCAACACGAAGTGCATTTGTAAACGCCTGTCGTGACTAGCTCAAGTCGAAGTGCACTTTAGGAGGGCTCGCTGTTTTCCGGTCTCTGCATCAGCCAATCACAGGCCGCTCACACAGGGCTTCATTTGACGACTGCCGAGTAGACCTTCACTTCAGACGCCTTCCGCTGGCTTGCGTTTGTGCGGGCGTCTAGTAGTCATTTTCCCACTGCCTCTTCTCCAATTCAATCTGTAAAGAATATATTCTTCCGACTACTCTGGCCTTCTCAAGACTTCTCTCTCATCTCCTAGGGAACCTGGCCTGGAAGGTCGCAGCCGTTGTAGTTAAACCTTCTTAGCCCTAAAAACATCTCGATATATCTATATCCGAGAATCAATATCACGAATTAAAATGAATTTACAATAACTGGACTTTAATCAGGCATGACGGAGCGAGTATCATGCGCACTTCAGCAACACCACAAGAACCTTGAAGACGTTTACTGCACAAAAATAAATAATACATAAACTATAGTTAGATGGGTATAGAAACATGCAGCGCATGTGATATTTTGAGGGCAGTGATATTTGCAGCAAGGCTAAAATACTTCCAGACGTCCTACTCATCTGTCTCCCCTCCAGCACCTGGATTTCTGAATTGAAAAGGGGCAATGTAGCAATTCCCTCGGTCTTTGCAGCCTAAAATAGATTTTCCCACACCACGGATCTTCAGTTCAACCTGGAGGACACAAACTTTTTAAAACCCGTCTGTAATCTTCTGTCATGTAATAACAGAAAACTGAAAATTTTTCACCCATCACCGTCCCTGATTTAGTTGATTAAATGAATCCACAGTACGGTTTAATTTCAAATCGGACCGTCGCCAAATGTGTTTTTTTTACAGTTAATTAGACAACAGATAACAGTTATGTCAGACCACATGGATATGTGGCTTGACAGATGACGCATGACAAGTGCACTAAAACTGACCTGATATCAGCTCTACAAGTGATTAACGTTCACCTGAAGCCTATGCGACCTCCGGGATGTGAGCACAAACCGGCAGAGACCATTTGAGCGTATTTTATTTGAGTCGTTTCTATTATAACACGTAAACCTCGAAAAGAGCAGTTAAATGTTTACAGTTCACAGTTCCTATAGATAATCTGAACTACAGCATGATAATTCGACTTCATTAAATGCGACATCAGTGTTGCAGGTAGTGAGTAAACTAATGAATCGGTAAAAACGAGTCCGTCTTCACTTCGAAGAGTGAGGGCTAAAGCCGACCATCCGAATCGAGACACTGACCGCTGCATATGACACTTGATCGGGAAAAAATGGAATCGACTATAGCAGGAAAAATAACTTATATTAAGGTAGAACGTTTGGCGAAAGTTAAGATGGTCGCCTGGCTTAGATAACTCTAGCCCCAGAATTCGGTACTACCCTAGTAGAAAAGTGGACAAAATCCGGTATAAATCCGGCATATGTTTCCGGATTTTTCCAGTAGGATTCCATGACGGAATCCGATTGGATTTGCTACTAGGGGGGACGTGTATCAAGTAGACTCCGAACAGCTGGGATTGCCCATGATTACGGTTGTCCGTCCTTCGTCTGCTAGGAAAATAATAATTTCAATGTCGCTCTTGAATTTACCAATGGTCCTTACCGTCGTCAGAAGAAAGTAAAACCAGTGAGAAATGTTGATTGTCACACTAGACCGTTTGGCGCGACAAGACATACGAACCATTGACTTGTGAGATGGAGAGTCATTTTAGTTTCATGAGCGAAGTAGAAGGGAGAAAAATGACAGCCTTCTGTGCTAGAGGAGCCTAGAAGCAAATCCAAGCGGATTCCATCATGTAATCCTGCTAAGAAAATCCGGATACGTATGCCGGATTTATACCGGATTTTGCAACTTGATTTGCACTTGCTACTAGGGTAGTTAAGTTTAGTTTTAAGTTTTTTATTTAGTTTAGTAGTTTAATCTTTGCTTAGTGTTTAGTTTAGTTCATTTTGTAACATTTAGCTTTGTTTAATAAATTTAGTATATACTGATTGGATGACAAAGATTAAGAATGCGCGAAATCAGCGCATCAAACATAGTTAAACAAATTCAATTTTCTATTAATTTTGTTTTATTGTTTAACACACACAAACAATACGTTTTGTTCCGCAGCGTTTTATAGCGTAGGCTCGCGATGGCCCACTACTTCCTTCAATATATAGATTTCACTGAACCTTTTTTCTAATAAACAGCATTTTGCGCCTCAAGTCAATTCAATGAACAAAGTTAACAACCTCAAATTTGTGTTAGACCTTCGCTCAAATTTCAATCTTTAAATTTCATCAGATAGACAATCTTGTAGTCATTTAGGTATACCTAGCTATCTTTGGCGGCATCTAACTAAAGTATAATTAACAAAAATCAAAAGTAACCAAACGACTAGGGGCTTGGTGTATCTAAGATGGCCCACCAGTTTAACTTTTACCAATTTTTTTATTAAGAATGTAGAGTGCTCACCGATATGGCGTAGCCGAGCGTCTGACTGTCGATAACAAGTCCAACGGATTCGCCAGCTCCACCAGGGTGTTTTCTTTTTCGTCGTCGACGCATATTCAACCTACTCTGACTAAAACTGTCCTTCACCCTCTGAAAGAAACCTCGCCACTTGGTGATTTTGTACGGTGTTTCTTCCTCTGCATCAGTGCCCTCCACTTGAAGCATTTTCACCGGAGATGGAGCTGCAGATCGATGCCAACGAGACCGTCTTCTCCTTCTCCGGACCTTCATGCCCAGCCGCAGTTTCATGCCCTCATGCTGTTCGTAGATTCGACGGGCAACGTCCTCAACACTGCCGCCGTCTGTCAGACGTACCAGCGTCAGTCCGGGAGGAAAGTGTCCAGCGGATCGACTCACTTGAACGGCTGTCTCCTCCTTATCCCCAGTCAGCACCCAAATCTAGATTTGAGTAAAAAAGAAGAGCCACTTCTACACTGTGCAATAGGTCTTCTAGTCAGACAGTAAGCAAGTTCTTAGCTATAATTAATCCAGTTATAGATTTATATCCCGTTGAATTCACTATTTAAAAAGGAAATTAGACAGTCTTTATGAGCCCTCTTAGTCACTCTTTATGGAATAACTAAATTTAGAAACAACTCCGTCTTTTAAGAACTAACTCAATCTTTGATCAGAAACTGGATCTTCTCTTTATTGGCTGTCAGATAATTCTGTTTCCTCAAGTAAGTCTTAATTTCGGAGTTCGGGGGCATTATCTGTTGAGGAATGTAAAGTTACTGAGCAGGTAGTGTTCTGCGATTGTTGCGAAATTTTTATGGAATTTGCTTGCGCTTTTAGCTTCTTTACTCTAAACTTGTTGAAGAAGGGACAGCCTTGCTCCCGAAGTGGATTGCTTGAGATATGGAAAAGTACGACTTTGCGAATTTTAAAGTAGAAGCTATACCAGTTACACTTGCTCGCCAAAAAGAAGAGGACTGACAGAGTATAATGAAAATGACATTCCGGGGTCCAAGTCCTGCGTGCATTAAGGTAGTGTAGCTTAAAATCCCTTCTCTATTGATTGGAGTTGATTGTAGTTCGTTTGAAATGAACCACAATGTAGTTCTTTCGAATTGGAAAAAGTCATTTACTATAAGTCAAAATTATACGGTAATCGAGTTAATAATTAATAGTTAATTATCTCCTTGGTACGGAATTGGCTATATGATTAAAACATCGATCATTCAACTAACGACACAGTCACTGAAAAATTACACAGTCCAAAACAAAACACCTTCAC